CTCAGGTGATCATGTTTGGTGGCTTTTCCTTTCAAGAAAGTCCCTGAGATGTGTTGGAACTGAGCTGAGAACAAATTCACCAAATGTAAAAGCAATTTTTCAGCCTAGAGCTAGAAATGCAGATACCTTTAGAGTCCAGCATTTTAAATTCTGACCAGAAGGTTCAATACAGCACTGGTAGAACAATGGCTAAAAAGTGAAGAAAGTGCCCAGCTGCAATCCTCATATATGGAATTAAATCCCTAATGTCCCACTAGCCACATGAACCTAAGACAGAAACCCAAGTCCCTCCTAACAGATGACAGGATTGACCTAAATTAGTATTTCCTAAATTATGTCTTGAGGAACACTTATTTAGAAATATGCTAATGGTATATTATGTTTATGGTCCCCCATGCTAAAATTAAAAAAAAATGTAGTTTCAATTACAGATTTATTTAATATGCCCCCTTGTCCCTGCACATCTCATCAGAGCTGGTTGCATTGTCTTCCTCTATGGACTGGTAAGGCTGCACCCCCTAGGGGGAGATGATCAGAGAGCCTGTCACCAAGTTCATGCCAGAGAAATTCACTGCTCCCCTTACTAGGGAACCCACTTGGAAACTAAGTCTATGGGCTACATCTGAGCCAGGGGTTTGAGTTCCTCTCCTTGCATTTTCCTTTGTTGGGGTATCATTCACTTCAGGGCCCCCAGGGCTCAGTTTTTATGGTTCTGTTGCTCTCCTTGTGGAGCTCCTGTCCCCCCAGGAGCTATCTATCTCCCCCTCCTTTCATAAGATTCCCTGCACTCTGCCCAAAGTTTGGCTGTGAGTCTCAGTATCTGCTTCGACATCTTGATCAGTGGAGTCTTTCAGAGGCCCTCTGTGGTAGGCTTCTGTCCTATTTTCTGTTTTCTCCTGCTTCTTTTGTCTATCACATTTGTCCTTCTGAATAAGGATTAAACATCTTCCCTAGGGTCTTCCTTGTTGTTTAACTTCTTTAGGAGTATAGATTTTATTATGTTTTCCTATATTATATGGCTAATATCTACTTAAAAGTGAGTATATACCATGTATGTCTTTCTGCTTCTGGGTTACCTCATTCAAGATGATCTTTTTTAGTTCTCACCATTTGCCTGCAAATTTCATGATTTCCTTGATTTTAATTGCTGAGTAGTATTCCACTGTGTAAAAGTATCACAGTTTCTGTATCCATTCCTCCATTGAGGGACATCTGGGTTGTTTCCAGATTCTGGCTATTACGAATAGAGCTGCTATGAACATGGTTGAGCAAATTTCCTTATTTTATACTTGCACATATTTTGGATATATGCCTAGGAGTGGTACAGCTGGATCTTGAGGTAGCACTATTCCTAATTGTCTGAGAAAGCGCCAGATTTATTTCCAAAGTGGTTGTACAAGTTTACATTTCCACCAGCAATGGAAGAGAGTTCCCCTTTCTCTGCAACCTCTCCAGCATGTATTGTCATTTGAGTTTTTTATCTTAGCCATTCTGATGAGTGTAAGGTGAAATCTCAGAGTTGTTTTCATTTGCATCTCCGGGATAACTAAGCACGTTGAACATTTCTTTAAGTGTTTCTCTGCCATTTGATATTCCTCTATTGAGAATTCTCTGTGTACCCCAGACAAGACGTTTTATACATAATATCATCTCTGCCAGTGTCTGCTAAATTGAGTATGAAAGTTCCAGCAAAAATTGAATCTGCACAATGAAATATATGACAATATTATATTTACTTCAAACCTGAGATTTTTTTAAAGTATTTTATATGCAATTTTTATTGCTATATGGATGAAATACTATGTATGACAAGGATGTCAAATGTTTTAGAGATACTTTGGAGCAGCTAAAACAAAAGTGCCCTTCTTATATTTCTTTCTTAGCTCACAGTGCTGCCTAGCCCGCCCTTTATTGTGTTAAATAGATGCAGGTGATGATATCCCTGGCTGCATTTTGGATAAAATGTTTGGGTATTACTACTAGAAAAAAAGGACAATGACTTCGGATGTGATAAATTGGTGGTCTGTCCTCCTTTGAAGAGGCGAGGGAGAACACTTCACCAGCCCCTTCTACCAAGTTCCTGAATACATCTACAACGTCATAGTGACTTTCAAACAGGAAGCTATTGGTGCTGGTGAGTTAGTGAAGAGCCCTTTGACTTTATTCTGAATGCAAAAGTTAAGTCATAATGCTTCAGGGAATCAGGAACATGACTGATTCCTGACGGCAACAAGCTCCATGCAAAGATCAGAGTGAGCAGAAGTTCTAAAACCTGCCCTCTGGAACTGCCCCAGCTGATCAAAGGTGCTAGTGAGTATCACAGATAGGACCTGGGGGAAAATAGCTCCAATACCATGCCTTGGTGTTAGGACAGAGAGCGCAAATACCTGAAAACAGCAACATTGTATACAGAGAGCACAAATACCTGAAAACTGCAAGATTATGTAAAGAAAACCAGGAGGAGGAAACTTACAACAGCTCAATGGAGCCTTTTATCAATGCCCTGAGGATACGTATTATACACATATTTTGATACATATTAGCTGCTTCAGACTAACAGTCAGCAAAGACTGACTCAATGATTGCTCACTGGAGAAAGTCCCCTGCCCACTATATCTTCCAGTAATGGGTTTCCTTGTTCAGCTGAAGGAAGATGAGGAAACAGGATCATACCTGAATTTAAATGAATGTTTATTCCAATGGCAGTGAGACTTTTAAACAGACTAGCTGCTAATTCACTAGACTGGGCACAAGCAAGGCTGATGGCCTGCTTTAATTCTACATCATACTCACAATAACACCTAAAGGCTAAAGGCTTGGTAACATTTATAGCAGCTACTAAAGGAAAATTATATTTTTATAGATTATTAAATTGAGACTATCCACTGACTATACATGTGTCATGGAATTAGTGTATACTTAGAGAAGATTATACTTGCTCACACAATTTCCTATATGAGTAAAAGAAAACTAAGAGCTATCTGGCATTGAGTGAACAAATAACCTAGGGCAAATACATCATAGCCTTGATGTGACAAAAGTAGAGAAAACACGTAAAGATCAATGATGTCTTTGGAGAAGAAACAATTTTTGCTTAGAAAACCACATTGGATCTAAGCATTTAACTTGTCTTAAAAAAATAGGGTTAGTAAATTAATGGTAGCATATGTATAGTATATTAATAAAAGAAGGTATTGGGCTTCATAAATTATCTGTTCTTCAATATGAACTCCTTCAATTTACTAAAAAAATAATAGAATTTGTTGATTAAAGCAATGACCTAGAATGGTCATGTCTACCACAATAGTAGTTTTCTGCCATTTTAGTGAATTCTGTAGACCCTATCCATACTCCTGACACAGCTGCTTGTTTGCCTTTTGGAGTGGAATGCCACCAAGCTCTGCTTAGGGATGTGACGTCTCTATAAGAAGTACAATCCATATACATCTGTGTGACTAGAAATAATTTTGTTGTATTTTTGCTGCGAGTGCAAATACAATGACAACACCACCTGATTCTGCTGAAAACCTGAGGTTCTTGCCTCAAAACTTAACAAAGTACAAAAAATCGGGTACATGAAAATCTAAATAATCAGATGTAATTGTCTCAATTTAAAATGGTTCAATCTGTGGTTATGGACTACTGTTTAGAATGTAGAGAGAAAATGTGCTGGGTTAGTAACATGGCAGTTGTAGGTTCTTCTCTAAGATCCACGGTGTCTGTAGATCAGGGATGATGCAGGAGTCTGAAAGGGAGCTGAGAACCTGCACTGCTGATTGGTTCCCAGGTATGGCGATGCTGAGGGGCTGAGGAGCATAGCTAGTTTTCACATATCAATGTATACAGAAGTCAAGTTGTGAGTAAATGAAAATTCTGACATTATTTTACAATAATAAGAAAAAGCAAACTTTGGAGCAAGAAATGACCAGTGTTGAAGTCTTAGTAAACTTCATTAATCACTAAAGAGAAGTAATTTTCTATTCACATACTGGTAACCCTAGTGAACTTAACAAATTTATAATTCAAAGTATGCTGGATCCTAAAGACTCTCCCTCTGAAGAATTTAATTTTTGCAAAAAAATAATCCATTATATGAAATACAATAATATAAAAATTACAGTGTAAATATCAGGAAGGGAACTCTTCTATCTACCTGCACGTGGATGCATGGATCACTGTAATATCATAAAACAATCCTAACTGGACTATGAGAAGACCTAAACACTCTGTTGTCTAAGAGAGCCCAAGTATCAGACACAAAACAATAAACAAATTACTTATAATTTGATGACAAGTAGATTTTGTGGCTTTTGGTGAGAATTTAATATTTTCTTGTTAAGCTTATTTTCCTTTTCTCACACATCTGGGGAGAATTATACATGAAGTCCTGGTCAGTCCACAAATTCAAATACTCAAGAGCTCAAGTTGAAGAAAGAGCTACCCTGATGAATAATGGAGAAAGCATTTCCAAAGTTTAAAATATGTCTTTCAGCTTAGATGTTTAAAATTTTCACATAAATCGGTAAGTACATCCAATGAATTTATCCCTTAAGTTACAAAACAACATTACATTGGAGAATTATAATTTATATCACTTATCATTCCATTGAAGAACATATATCCTATCTGAATTTATCTTTATGTACCATATCTCATTTATCTAAAGATTAAAAACAAATGATCAAGTTATTTAAGTGTTACAGTATTGCATAAAATTTTTATTGGACTCAATTGAGATTTTTAATTATAACTCCCATATTTCTAAACCATGGCATTTTCTATACTCCATCTCCTAACATGAGCACCAGGCACACTGACGATGGCAATCAAGGTAATGAGGTAGGCTTCAGACATGCCACCTTGGCAATCAGTCCTTTTCTTCACAAAATCTCAAAGCACTTTCACTCCCCATCCTGTGGTACTTTACTCACAGCCCTCTTTTGCGAAAGATTTTTAATCAGCAAATAATTGTTAATATTTCTTACAACTCATATACTTACAATCAGGAGGCATCTTTTCCATAAATAGTGAAAAATATTCTTGTACAAGTTGAAAATTTTCTTGATTAATACTTTCTTGCAAAGAAACATCTCCAAACCTAAAATTAGGGGAAAAAGAGATTTATGGGATATAAAACAGCACCACAAATTAATACAGCCTACCTTTTCCTTTAAATAGATGTCCTCCTGCCCTTTGACAACTAATGAGTACACAGGTTTAGCCCTGTAGCCTCCTAGAGAGCACTTCATCTCTGAACACATTCACTGTGGGTCCTGCAGCTGTGTGCCCACGCCCTTCTCCTTCATCACAAAGTCGGTGCCTGTATTCCATTGAGTATGTTGCATTATATACTTAAAGTTTGTCTCTCTATAAAAGGGTGCTTCCAATATGTACCTCCAATCAAATCTGTAACTATTTTCCCTAGGTGCCAAGTGAGATTTACTATTTCCTTCTAAGCCACAAAATTAAATCATTTTCTTCTATTGATTATTTCTAAACCTGCTTCCAACTTCTGCCAGAAATTCAGATTGGAAATCTAAGTAGCACTATGGGTCTCTCTCTTGCCTCTACTTTATCTATTACTCACTACTGTTTTCAAATTTCTGACCTTCCTGCCTGGTAATTCCTCTCATAAAGATTTCCAGATACTTCAGTGATGTGCCTCCATCCTCTCGTCCCTTTCCCACCTATCATTTAACATATCCTTAGAACATTACTCCAATCAGCAAATGTTTATTAATGCCAGCTGTGTGTCAGGCAGTCCACTGTGCAGTAAGTTAAGAGTTAGAAAAGTTAATCTGTCACGTATTTCACAGATCAAGTCACTAAAGTATTTCTCATCTCTCTAGAGAAGCAAGTCTATTCCCATAGTGCGGCATCTTGCTTCTATGTAATGTTTGAGAAGACACTTTCAGACCATTCTTGCTTACTAAGCATTATAATGCCTATGAGACTTCCCCCCATGTTATCTCCTCTGACTGTACTGTCTTACTTTCTAGCTTTCCTGCTTCCCTCAGCATTTCCTCTTATTCTACAATTTTGTCTTTTTTTTTTAAATCTTAAATCCTGTCACTCTTGTACAGTTTACAGGTAATTAAAAGATACTTTTTTTTTTCATTTACAAGGGCGATAAACTAAAGACGAATGCTTTCAAAATGAAGTAACTATAGTGCAGTTAGAATGACAAAGACCATAAAATCTAGTCTAGTCTAGAGGCTAATTTGTCCTTGGAAATTCTAACTAGCTCTTTAAAAGTCTGTAAACGGCTGAGTCGGAGGCCCCTCTCTAGGCGACACTCACAGGCCATGTATATATTTTGCTACTGGCATCAATATGCTTTTCATGGTTTTCACACATTTAAATTCAATATGGGGCATGATTCCTTCATATGCATACTTTGCCTTGTTAAAAGAAGCAACCTGGCAGGGCATTAATCATGTCTAAATTCTATAAGCACAAATGCAGTATTTCTATGTATACACTAAGAAGAGACAAAGGGCCACTGAGCAGCATCTATTTCAAGAAGCTTACCTGTCAGCCAGAGTCTGTTGCTCATTGATTCCAACATTAAACAGAACGGGGAACACGTGAAGCAACTGGCCTTCTTTAATCTGCAGAGGGAGAGACTCGAACTCTGTAGCTGGAAGCTTGACCTCCACCACATAGTGTTCACTGCAGACAGCAAAGAACAGAGGAGAGAAACTGATTTGCTTTGCTTGTGGTTCACTGGGAGGAAACCATCAGGAGACAGGTTGGAATATAGCACTTGGGCTTTTGTAGGTTGTGTGCTTTCTTTCTGTGTTCACTAACTGAAGGAATGAACAGCTGTTTCATTGTTAAAATGTGTGACATGTACAATGGTGGTATATCTACATTCTCAGCATTTCTCTGAATTTTGTCGGAAAGGGAGGCTATTTAGCTCATTTTTGAAGACCCCTGGCCAAGCACATTGGTAGTGTCAAGTCTGCTTTCCCTTATTTTAGGATCAGATTAGTTCTCCAAATATGGAAATTTAATATAATGATAGTTGTTTATAATTTTCATTTTTATATTAATCACAGGTTATTAATTACAGCTGTAGCCCCCTCCTTCATTCCCTCCCAATCCCACCCTCCCTCCCTCTTCTCCTCCCTGTCCCTTTCCAAGTCCACTGATAGTGGAGGTTCTCCTCCCCTTCTATCTCATCCTAGCTTATCAAGTATCTTCAGGACTAGCTGCAATGTCCTCCTCTGTGGCCTAGCAAGGCTGCTCCTCCCTGGGAGTGGGGGAGAATCAAAGAGCCAGCCATTGAGTTCATGTCAGAAATAGTCCTTGTTCCCCTTACTAGGAAAACCCACGTGGATATTGACCTACCATGGGATACACCTGAGCAGGGGTTCTAGGTTATATCCATACATGGTCCTTGGTTGGAGAAACAGTCTCATATAAGACCCCTGTGTCCTGATATATTTGGTCCTTGTGGAGCTCCTGTCCTCTCTAGGTCATACTAACTCCCCCTTCTTTCATATGATTCCCTGCACTCCGCCAAAGGTTTGGTTATGAGTCTCAGCATCTGCTTTGATACACTGCTAAGTAGAGTCTTTCAGAAGACCTCTGCAGTAGGCGCCTGTCCTGTTACTTGTTTTCTCCTACTTCTAATGTCCATCCCATTTGTCTTTCTAAGTGAGGATTGATCATCTTATTCCGTGTCCTCTTTACTGTTTATCTTCTTTAGGTGTACAGATTTAAGTATGTTTATCCTATCTTATAGGTCTAGTATCCACTTTTAAAGAGTAGATACCGTGTGTGTCTTTCTGGTCCTGGGATAACTCAGGGTGATCTTTTCTAGATCCCACCAGTTGCCTGAAAATTTCGTGATTTCCTTGTTTTTAATTGCTGAGTAGTATTCCATTGTGTAAAAGTACCACAATTTCTGTATCCACTCCCCCATTGATTGACATCTGGGTTGTTTCCAGGTTCTGGCTATTACGAATAAAGCTTTATTATGAATAAAGCTGCTAAAAACATGGTTGAGGAAATGCCCTTGTTGTATACTTGAGTATCTTTTGGATATACGCTTAGGAGTGCTATAGATGGATCTTGAGGAAGTACTATTCCTAATTGTCTGAGAAAGTGCCAGATTGTTTTCCAAAGTGGTTGTACAAGTTTGCATTCCCACCAGCAATGGAGGAGAGTTACCCTTTCTCCACATCCTCTCCAGCATGTGTTGTCACTTGAGTTTTTTATCTTATCCATTCTGATGGGTGTCAGGTGAATACTCAGTGACATTTAATTTGCATCTCTCTGATGGCTAAGGACATTGAGCATCTCTTTAAGTGTTTCTCTACCATTCTTCTACAGAGAATTCTCTGTTTAGTTCCATACCCCATTTTTTAATTGGATTGCTTCATTTATTGCCTTTAACTTGTTTAGTTCTTATATGTTCCGGATATCAGCCCTATGTCAGATATAGGGTTGGTGAAGAACCTTTCCCAGTCTGTAGGCTGTTGTTTTGTTCTGACAGCAGTGTCCTTTGCTTTACAGAAGCTTTTCAGTTTCATGAGGTCTCATTTATTGATTGTTGATCTTAGAGCCTGTGCTGTTGGTGTTCTGTTCAGGAAGTTGTCTCCTGTGCCAATGAGTTCTAGGCTCTTCCTCACTTTTTCATCTAAACAATTTAGTGTATCTGGTTTTATGTTGAGGTTTTTGATCCACTTTTAGACTTTAGTTTTGTGCAGGGTGATAAATATGGATTTATTTTCATTTTTCTTCATGTAGACATCCAGTTGGAACAGCACCATTTGTTGAAGATGCTGACTTTTTTCCATTGAATGCTTTTGGCTTCTTTGTCAAAAATCAAGTATTCATCGGTTTGTGGGTTCATTTCTGGGTCTTCTATCCGGTTCCATTGATCCACCTTTCTGCTTCTATGCCAATATGATGCAGATTATTATTACTATTTATTATTATTATTATTATTATTATTATTATTATTATTATTATTATT